TCCACTAAACGCTAACCAACCTATTTGTAGTCTAACTAGCATACCATCACACAGGGATATATATATATATATATATATATATATATATATATATATATATATATATATATATATATATATATATATATATATATATACATACATCTAGCGGATCACTACAACACAGCAACATCCTATACACATGGATATATAACCAAATTTCCAAGGAATATGTAACCATATGTACCAGAGGTGAGATAGACACATGAATAGATAATTCTACTCCAGTGCCACAATCAAACAACGAACATGCAAGAAAGCCTAGATCAAGAGTCCTCAGTCTATCATATATGGCTACATGTAGTCCCTAAGGTACCCCTTTAATGAATGATAACCAAAACTAGTGGGCCGTCATTGGTGCCATCGACCTATGGATATAGTGAGGAAAACTCATATAAATCGAAGAACCCAGAAACACTACGACACGCTCCCCTTTCTGCACTGCTTGCTCCCACGAACCTTCTAACACCCAAAACATGGTATAATCTTAGTCAACAGTCCAAAACCCTCAAGTTTGACCCAAAATCCAACTTGGTCAAAAAGTCAACGGTCAATCTTTGCTAAAGTCAATGCCACGTCGTGGCCTTCCCTAGCCACATCGTGGGAGCACAAAGTCAAAAAAATAATCATTAAAGACATTGCCATGTTATGGTCCTTCTTGGCCATGCCGTGACAATGCTAGAGCAAGGCAGTCGCGATTTTTTACTTCGCCGCATCGTGGCTACCCTTCGTCATGCCATGGCTACTGGAAATATGCCATTTCTCCCATGAGCTTAATTCATTAAAATATAAGTGCATACTTCTTGATCTCCTCTTCCATATTGACTTAATGGATAGAGTGCCCAACTTTATACATTTGGAATCCATTTCAAAGCTAGATCTAGCATTTAAAGTTCATTAGGTCCTTAATGAGGCTGTAAATTGAACATAGACACAAAATATACAAAGAATGGTCCGTTTTCTTAATCATCAGAAATCCAAGGACCTAGGAAAGCCACCACACATTCTGTAGTTCTTCAAACTCCAAGAACCTGCACGAAAGGGACAAAAATCACCCCAATATGACCTAGAACTTGAATCTAGAAGGAAAGGTGTCAAGTTAGGAGCTTTATACCTTCAACAACTCAGAGAACTGAAGATAATGTTAGATCTAAACTTGCTTCTTGTTCCCTTGCTTCCTTATGAGCTTCAATCTTCCAAAATTCTACCAAAAACCCAAGAACAAGGCTCAAAATGGAACAAATGGACTCTATAGCATGCATGGATGCTAGGGTTTCGAGATGGGGAGATGGAGGCTAAAGAGGATGCCATAAACCTTACCTAAGGTTTAGGCGCTTAAATATGGTAGAAACCCTAAAACTTCATGGATTGGGCTGCACTTGCTGCTACACCATGGCTATTCATTGTCACACCATGACGGGCATCCAAAACACATGCATGAAGCTTCCATGCCATGTTGTCGCCATCGATGCTCCATGCAGTGACACTCAATCTTTCCCATAAATCCTCCCTTTGATTTTTCCAAGCTCTCAGCTGACCTACACAGGAAAATGGGTGTTACATGCATCATCTCTTTCACTTAGTTTAGTAAGACTGGTCATTTAATTTCTCTTTTTATTGTTTTAGATCTGATTTTAGCCATATCTAGCTAAATCCTTATATTTCAGTTTTGTAAAGATTAGTGCTTTTTATGTGATTAATCTTTATACTTGGTTTTTATTGTGTGACTATATCTAGTTGTTTCAGTTTTAAGCTTCATGAATGGTTGATCTCTGATGCTTTTTAGATTGATCACCTAGTTTAGGATTATTTCATTCTAGTTGATTAGTTGTTAAAAAACATAATTGTTTTTATAAACTGCTAATAAGTAACACTACTAGAAAAACAGCCTTTTACGACGCTCATTGCGCGTCGTAAAAGGCTCAGACGATGTGCAAATGCGCGTCAAGGAAGGCCCTGTCATAAAGAGAGACGACACGCATTTACGACGCTCATTTACGACGTGCAATTACGACGTGCGTTTACGACACGCAATGCGTATCAAGGAAGGCCCTTTCATAAAGGAAGACGACACGCATTCGCGTGTCGTAACCTTACGACGCGCATGTTAATGGCACGCAATGCGTATCATTAAAACCCCTGTCAAGAAAGGCCATGTCATAAATGAAGATGACACACATTTTTGCGTATCGTAAATTTAAATGTTTAAAAAAATTTATTTATTTATTTATTAATTTTTAAATTAAATTTGCTTTTACTGTCTCATAATAGAAATAAAATACCATATAAAAAATACAATTCATTGCATAAAATTTAATGTCATACAATTCTATTTCTTACAATAAATAAATTTGCATTCATCTAATCTACTATGTGTTTCATCTAATCTACTCTGTGTTTCTTACAATATATAAATTTGCAGCATCTTATCTCTTTCAGCTTGAGCTTTCTTTTCCTCTAACTCCAGAGCTATTCATTTTCATCAACCATGTAAAGACAACACAAAATCACTTGTCATTTTCATTCTGCTTTAGAAATGTCAGCAGTGAAGTAATGGATTCTGAAGAAGAAAACTTTGTTCCAATAAATTTAGCAACTTCACTGAACTTTTCTGCACTTGGGAACTTCAGAACAGATGGTCTAAACCCACGTATATCAAAATTTAATGTCATCATAATGTAAGGATCTGCAACATGAATTAACTTCATTTTAGTTTATGTCACAAAAATAAGGAGGGAGGATAGGTTATTCACCCAAATTCATGGCAAGACAGCTGGTGAAAAGGAAATCCGAGAAAGTAGTCACGATGAACAGATGCTTGATCTTCCGCAGGTCCATGCCAACTAACTTCATTGGTCACTTTCAAATGGCCTAGATCAATTTCCATGAAACTGCATCTATGAAAGAAACACCGAGAAACCATTTTCAAAAGATGTTTATGCAAAGAACCTTCAATAAGTAATTATAGCATCCCCATACAAACAACTAATTGAATGAGAATGACATGCACCTTTAAAACAAGTGCCATTGTTGCTATTGAAACACTCTTCTGGACAATATTTATAGTAGAAACTATATACATATCCTTATCTATTTATAGTAGAAACTATATACAACACCAACCACTCCAGTTCTCTGCGCACATTAACACAACACATTTTTTTTTATTTTTAAATATTGTTATTTAAAAAAAAAGTAAACATTTCACCTAAAAAATTATAGTATAAGGATAAAAAACCAAACCTGGATGTTGTAACCCTTTCTGGATATAACTTCGGTGACCAGGTTGAGAACTCCAGGAGCATTATTGACAAGAATGTTCATAGTGTGAGACTTATGACCAGTTCACTGTTTTATTAATATTAAATCTGAGTTATATATATATATATATATATATATATATATATATATATATATATATCCTATAAACTATTTGCTAAATAATGATTGATAAGACATTAATGAAAAATGAGAAATTGATGCATATCTTACATCTTCTTCATAAAGCACACCCCAATGGGGGTCAAGGACTTGATTCATTGAGAACCTATTGTAGTACTCCACAGGATAAACATCTCACTACATTCAAACAAATATATCACAACTCAAATTAATAAAAAAAAGAAGAAGAAATTATCACAAATAGAAACCTGCAAAGAATTAAAGAGTATACCCCTGAAACCGCACTCAAGATCTCATCAACCGTGTGACTTATATTTGAGGCAGTAGGAATTGGAGCTGGGGCTTCCAGATATGGATACGAAGCAGCACGGAAGTTCCAAAATGGATCAGTTTCACCTAACTTTTTATCTTCTTAAAGCAATCTAGAATTTGCAACATACCAGTAGACTAGTGAAGCTTTTTAGGGCTAATTTTTTTATGATAAACAAGAGATTGAGAGCGGGTTTTTTGTCCCATTTGACTTGAAAATAAAAAGGTACCTGGATTCTTGAGGGACTTTTGACTTCAAGGTTTGTAGATGCAGTGGAGGTGAAAGTAGAAAAAGGGGAGGAGAATGCGATGGAATTATCAATGGTAAGGGTGGTGGTAGAGATTTGTTGACAAATCTTGTCAACCTTCAAAAATGGAGTTGTGCCCACTGCCAGAAGTGGTAATAGCTCAGAAAATGCAGTGAACCTGTTATTTTTTATGTTACCACATAAACAAAAAAATGTTTTAGAACACAACAAGGGCAAAATAGGAAAATTAAGAAATTATGAGGAAAATGTTTGGAGAAAGATGTAAACATGCTTACTAAAATAAATCATTAATAATTAAGTGAAGCAAGCAAAGTAAGAAGAAACAGGTAAATAGGGAAGGAACTTGAAATTACTCTTAGAATGCTTACAAGGAGAGAATTCTAAAGGCTTTAAGTAGTATAAAGAAAGGGTGGGGCTATAGAACAATTATAGTTTCCTTATAGTGAACTTAGGTTATTTATAATTATAATGGCAAGAATTCATGGATGTGGGGTAGATTGAACTTAATTTTCAACAAAGGGTAAATAGGTCATTTAACTTAACATTTAAAGACTTGATTCTTGTAACTCATGATAGGGTCGGGAGACAGACACAACTAACCCACAGGTTCAACCTTGACTCTCTAGTTGAACAATTTTACTTCTCCAAGTGGCTTTTGTTGAAACATTGGGACAAGAGCATCTTTTGGTGAAGATTGTTGGCCAACACTTGTTTAGCCCATTGGTTTTGTGTTTGAGAGTACTGAGTTAACCCGGGGTGGACCGGGTGGGTTCGGGTTGAGCCATAACGTGACCCGTGTGGGATACTGGTTAGGTGAAGACTAGAGGTGTTTGATAAAGGGGAGAGATTAAGGTCTGAAAAGGGCATTTGGGAATGGGAATAGGAATGGGAATGATGATGTGGTGAGGGGAGACTGTTGTGGGCCCCAGGAGAAAATGAAGGGAGAGATGAGGTTGGTGTGAGTATGGGTTCTGTGAAGAATCAGTGTTTCTCTATAGGGTATGATGAAGCTCTATATAAGGGTTTAGGGTCTGAAGGGAGATGAGATTGTGAAGACCATCTTCTGCTTTCATGGCTGCTTTCTGTGTCTGAGATGTGTTGGTCTAGCCACTCTAGTAGGTCTACTGAAGCAGATGAACCTGAAAATATGTATATTGTTTTTATAGAGGAACATGAACAAAGTTACACAAGCAATGAAGAACAAAAGTATTTCTTTAATAGATTTGATATAGATACTTACTTTCTCGTGAAATAGATCCTGATCCTCGATCACCAATAACTCCACGATGTCTAGGTCCGCTTACTGATCTGTTTAGTTGTTTAACCAAACAAGAAATTTAGTTAATTTGGCTCAAAAAATTCACAGCTTTATTGTGAAAAACTGAAATCAAAACTATACTTTTGAAAATATAGTTGACAGATCATCTAAATCCAATAGAGATCTTGCACCTGGCTCCTGTGGAAAAAGAAGATGTAAGATTTAGAAAGATGAGATATTTTATCACTGCAGGTTTAGGGATTTGAATTTGCATGAAGTTAACTGAAACTATTGTAACGACTTTAGATGTCTAAAATGTGAAGTGATGAATGCATAATATCTCAAGCGTTTAGATTTATGAACAATAAATGAAGATAAATATGGAGTGAAGTGAAAACAGAAGATGCACAATGTACATTATACCTCTTCTCTGTCAAATAAATGGCATTCATCATCAGGAACTCCAATTGAAGGATTATCTTCATCTTCTTCTAAGCACCTAAACTCAATTTTCTCAGTAGTAGGTCGACCAAAAAAAGCATACTGTGAAGCATCAAAGAGTTTATCATCTGCACAATAATGAAAGAATCAGGCATAAAAAAACAAAATCTTGAAACAACAGAAATAATAAGAAAGAACAATGACACTTGCAGACAATAAAACCAATGATAATTTGTTCTATTGCTCGATGAACTTCTTTGGTTTTCTTCCTCAGGTAAAAATGGTAACATGTTCGACATCCAGATACCGAAATATGAACTTGTGTGGGGTGTAGGTACTAGTAAATCATTCAAATAAAAGATTCCTTCATCAGAGATATCACCTCAATCACACAAGAGAGAGAGAGAGAGAGAGAAAGAGAGAAACTTGATCTAAGGGAACAGGCCATGGTAGCCACGAGATTTGAGAAAACTGTATGCAACATCCTTAGAACCATGAGTATCGGGAGCAGAAGAAGTGCCTCCAATGCAAAATTAGTTATGGCCACTGGAGGAGGAAATCATGATTGAAACTTTTATGGTTTTTCTGGTTAGGGTTTTACAGAAGCGAAGAGAAGAGGATTCAAAATCGAAATTAGAGGTAGGAATAAAGGAGAAATAAGAACCTGGATCTTATCTTCGACATTATTGACGATGTCGACATTGCTTTCAACATCGAGTGGGAGATATAATGGTTCCAGTGGGTAGAAGTAAGTGAGCCTTGATCGATGTCCTCCCTTTCTCTCGAACGCCTTTTGTATCCTACAGATATTCCTTTATAACGGAGGTAAAGGGAACGCACAAAGAAACCCCTATGAGAGAGAAAGCAATAGCCGATTTGAAGCAACCGACAAATGAAATTGAAAGGTAGAGGTGCTACACTCCTTTTTTTGTTCGTGTCACCACACATCAACATAGAGAAATCAAGAACCCCTGTGGGTTTGATCTGTTCAGAAGACGGGATCAAAGATTTGGTGATATTGCGATTTTGTTGCGTGAGAAAAGAGGATTTGTGATGATATTAGGTTTTTTTTGGGTATTAGAGTGACAGAGATAGAGAAAGAGAGAGAGAGTGAGAGAGAGAGAGAGAGAAGAAAGATGGAAATAAGATAGAGGATAACAATGGTAACCTTTCAAACTTTTGGGATTTTCGTTTCCCCCCAGCTGCAAAAAAAAAAGAGAAAGCGCCTTTCATTCAAAAAATATAAAGCGACATTTCTAGACAACGCCCATGTTTAAATAAGTGCCCTCCATGTTTTTAATTTTTTTTCTTGGACATTAATTTTAGGACACGCACAAAAAGCGTGACCTCTATCCTTCAAAAGTTTGAAGAGATGACATTATTTTTAGAGCGCCCGCTTTTGCGTATCGTAAATCACCGCGTGTCATTGTTTGCGCGTCATTAAAGGCTGTTTTTCTAGTAGTGTAACAAGTATCTGAATGGTTCCATGTTGTGATTTAATTATGATATATATATATATATATATATATATATTGAAATTTCATATTTCTTTAGCTTCTGAGCTTGTGAAAAGTACTAAATGTTGTTAGAAATTTACACATATTTTAATGTTTCTTTTCTGATATGATTATGAGCTTGTTTAATTAAGTTAGTAAAAATTAGGATTAACTGAAGAGCTTGTTTTGGTTAATTAATTATGTAAAAGAGAACTTACTAGATTTTGTTAGTACTTTTCACTACCAAAAGGCTTTCAAATATCCATAAGTTCAAAAAAAATCTTTATTTAATAAACATGCATGTCTAATGCATGTATTGAACTTCATTATGCCTAAAATGGTGAAAATGAGGTCAAAACCTCATGCAAAGAATGAAAACTCAACCAATCTTCAAATCTGGAACACTAAACCTCAAAGGGACCCCAATGATCCAAAAAGTTGCCAACTTTATGGAATCCATCCACTCAAACTCTCCTAAACATGGAGAAAATACATAAAAGCCTATATTTATATATGTTATTTTTGCCTGAACACGATTGCATGACACTCCTTTGTAAAACACAACAAGACCGTTTTGCATTCTTTCAACTCCCAATGTTGAAAATAATTCTCGAAAAGTATCCAAAATCCTCCAGAAGTCATTAATTACATTTCAATCACTTCAAACCTACTAAAACAATAACAATATATATATATATATATATATATATATATATATATATATATATATATATATATATATATATATATATATATATATATAAACTTAAGTTCATATATGTCACACCCCGAAAACCAAAGGCGAAAACGTCTCCGGGGTTGACTCCAAGTTGTGTATCAAATCCAATGTACATAGTAATCACAGTAAACAAACATTACATTACATATATATGAAAGTTTACATTTATTTCAAAAGTAAAGTTATACAAATATACATATGCATCATATTAACGAAAGTTGAGACGAGCCTTCCACGCACTCCGTCTTCATCAAAAGAGATCACCGGGTACCTGTCTAACTTGGACCTGAGAATACAAGCGGTTTGAAAATCAGCATAAAGTTGGTGAGTTCATAAGCGGTTTTGTTTTATGAAAATGTATTGGTTTCCTTTAGTTTCCGAAAAAGTTTGTTATCCAAGAAAATCCCATATTTTCTTATGTGAAGTTGGTTAAGTTATCATTTGTTACTAATTCGGTTATGTATTGTATTTTACCCCAGGAAAATCCCATATTTTTCTAATTGTAAGATCGGTGGTATATCACAAAGTATTGTTTAACACACAAAACTATATAATGAAAATCTTGGGATTTCTATCCCGAAAGACATATAAAATAGTTTGACACATCTGAAAATACAGGTTTAAGATCATGGGACTATCATCCCGGACTAAACACGAGATAAGTTGATGTATATATGTAAATATAGGTTGAAACCATGAGATCACTATCCCGAATAAGATACAGATTTGGAAAACCATGGGATCACTATCCCGTATAAGATATAGATACAAAACCTTGGGATCATTATCCCGTATAAGATATAGAGTTAGAAAACCATGGGATCACTATCCCGTATAAGTTATAGATACAAAACCTTAGGATCATTATCCCGTATAAGATATAGATTTGGAAAACCATGGGATCACTATCCCGAATAAGTTATAGATACAAAACAATGGGATCATTATCCCGTATAAGATATAGATTTGGAAAACCATGGGATCACTATCCCGTATAAGTTATAGATACAAAGCCATGGGATTATTATCCCATATAAGATATAATTAAAGACCATGGGGAAAGACATCCCGTACAAGTTATAGGCATAAAACCATGGGATCACTATCCCGAACTAGATACAAAATAGTTTGGTTAATACCATGGGATCACTATCCCGAAAGAGATATAGGAATGAACCATGGGATCACTATCCCGTATAGGACATAGATACACAATAGTTTGATAATACCATGGGATCACTATCCCGAAAGAGATCTAGAAACAAAACCATGGGATCACAATCCCGAAAAAGATATAGGAATAAACCATGGGATCACTATCCCGAATGAAATATAGTTTCTGAACCCAAGCTGTGAATAAGATGGTATTAATACATATTATGAGTCGGGTAACCATACTAATACGACAATGTGACCTCCTTGACGTTTGTCAGACGTCGAACGATATCCAGAAATTTGTCACCCTAGGCATGCCCGCCTAACTGTAGCTAGCAGTTAAGGTGTGGGATTGTCAGTCCCGAATAGATCTATTCACAAATTCCGCGCTCTCCCTCCAGGAGACTCTGGTTACACTTCCGGGGAGGATTTACTAATCATCCATAAAGGGTAGTGACTATCTCACAAACTAGTAATAAACTATTCACAGGGTTCTTGTAAGATATCGATATACAGAAGATTATGAAACATAGAACAGTAAAGTATAGATACATACATGAAATTATCTGACAATACATTAAAATGATACGGAGATAAACTGAATCAGACATAGTTTATCTAATAACTTGATATAGATATCAATATACGATAGAAGGAACAGTAAAGACCCCCAAATTATTCCCATAATAATTTGATTAGTTTGATTGTTTCCTTAACTAAAATCCATTTAGTTGAAATCGAATAGTCATTTCTTATGCTCAGCATAATACATAAGGAGTAAAAGAGTTTATAAGTTTGTCAGATATTGTTTGAAACATATCAATGTTGTGTTTTGAAAACAGTTATAGTTTGCTTGTATTCCCCCCTGAAAACATTGAAAACAGTGAAAAAGCCGTAGGGGTATGAACTCACCGGACGAGGTATGAGACGGTTTGGATGCTAAGAGTTGATCCGGAACTTGTAAACACACGAGGTTCCTAATTATGACGTAAAGATACATATTTGTATCTAATTAGGACTTAGATTGATTGTTGGATAGGGACAAATGCTTCAAGTCGCGATAACACTCCGATACAAGTGTTTGGTGGGACCTGGGTGGCTTTTAGGGACATGAATGGTACAAGGGACTTGGGAAAAGAGTTGGGACATCAAAGGAACACCCCCCCTTAAGGGAGTTTACAGCCAAAACACCCATCCCCATGAGTTTACGGCCGTAAACTCATGATGGGTGGTTTATGGTGTAAATTGGACTTCCAACACTTAGGGGATAATTTCTAGACTTGGTTTAAGGACTTGGAATGATTACAAAACATCAAATAGACCCCCTTTATGGGAGTTTACGGCCTAGCATGGCTCCAAGGCCGTAAACCCCTATTTTTCCAAGAGGATGATGTTAAATGGTGCTAGAACAAATCACATGTGATTGGTAGAATTTATCCAAGGCCTATCATGAGTTTGCAAGGGATTTTCGGGGTGTTTATGGAGTTTACGGCCCATGAAACCCCCTTCATGGCCGTAAACTCTAATATATGGCACTCCAAGGTGTTTCAAGGTCTAAAACTTGAATGAAAGGACTTCTAAAATTCATCTAAGGGCCTTAGGGGTGTTTAGTTTGCATTCTAACACCAAGAATTTTGGAGTTTACGGCCCAAGAACAAGTCTTAGCCGTAAACCCTTAGAAATCCCATGAATGATGTGTTTTAGGCCTTTAAAGTATTTTTGGTTGGTCCCTTGATTTATTCCAAGGCTTTTGGTGGTGTTGGATGGCTTTCTAAAACCTTAGAATTGGATTTATGCCAAGTTTTGGGGAGTTTACGGCCCAAGCACTCTCCTTGGCCGTAAACTCATCTAAATCCCCCAAAATTCATGTTTCAAGTGTCCAAATGCTAGAATCAAGGTCCTATAATTCATATCTAGGCCATAGAAGTGATTTGGAAGGGTTTAAGGGCATGAAAACCCTAATTATATGAGTTTACGGCCCAAGAATGATCCTTGGCCGTAAACTCCTTCAAACATCACAAAATTCAAGTTTTACATGTTTAGATTCCATATCTTGAAGTCCCATAGCCATATCTAAAGTCCAAACTAGTCAAGGAGGGGTTTAAGGGCTCAAAACCCATCATTTTAGGTGCTTACGGCCTAGGCACCTTCCTGGGCCGTAAACTCACATATATTGTCCAATTTCATGATTAAGTGTCTAATTTGGAAGCAAAACATGCTATAGATTAAAGCTAGGAAGGTACCTTAAGGATTTGAAGCCTTAAAATTGAGTTTTGGACCCTTAATCTTTGGATTTTTGGAGAGAGGTTAGAGAGAGAGTAGTGAGAGAAGGAAAAGCTTCAAATGAAAGCTGAAACACGTTTATATAGTTCCTAAAATTTGCACGCGGTGGAATTCTACCCGATACCGACGCTAAACGCGGCTTTTGGTCGCACCCGATTGAGTTTCCGTCACCCGACGGGAACATTTTAAAAACTCATGAAATAAATGTTTTTGGGCTAATAACATAAGTTCCTGAGTGATTTGGACACTCATTAGAATAAAATAAACATATAAGTTTATAC